CGACGGCCGCGACGGCGGCGGCGGCGGAGACGACGGCTGCAACGGCGGCGGCGGTGGAGACGACGGCTGCAGCAGCTGCGGCGACGGCGGCTGCGGAGGCGGTGGAGGAGGAGACACCGGGGGAGGGACAGACGGCGAGGACTGCGCCGGAGGACTACCAGAGTCAGAAGACTCGTCGACCGGGACGACCGACGGGAGGGGGGTGACGTGAGACACACCAGAGGGGGCCGGACGGGGGGGCGGGGGGGGGGAGGGGCAGGGACCACCAGGGAGGGAGGAACCAGGAAAAGGGGGGGAGTAACCGGGGGACCACGGTGGGGAAAGCGGCGGTAGAAGGAGACGGACTCGTCAAAGGTGACGTCGCGAGAGTGAAAGAAGCGGTGAGACGGCGGGTGGTAGAAGTGCCAGTCGGACGCGTCAAGGGGGAAACCGAGGAAGACGCAGGGGAGGGTGCGGGCAGTGAGCTTGTCCGTGCCAGAGGCACGAACGTGAGCAAGGCAGCCCCAGACGCGGAACGCAGACGCGTCACCAGGGGACCCGGTCCACAGAAGGGTCGGCGCAACCTGCGGCCGCTGGGGGTGCGGCCACAGGTTAAGCTGGTGAGCGGCGTAGCGCACGGCGAACGGCCACAGAAAATGGGGTGCACCGGCGTGGATCATGGAGGTGCGAGCCACCTCCATGACCAAACCGATGCGTCGCTCAGCGACCCCATTCTGCTGCGGGGAGTCCGGCAGGGTAAACGTCTGGGTGATGCCCTCCGCACGACAGAAGCGACCAAGGACACCTGAGGCAAACTCGCCACCCCGGTCGGAGTGAAGGCGCAAGGCAGGGAGACCGCGGTGGACACGAGCAGAGACAAGCCAGGGGATGAGAACGCCAGGCACGTCGGCCTTCCGCTCCAGGGGGAAGACGGTGGTGTAGCGCGTGAAGTCGTCGACAAGCACTAGGAAGAAGCGCTCGCGACGCGGCCCATGGACCGGGGCTGGGCCCCAGACGTCCATGTGCAGAGTCTGCAGTGGTGCGGTGGTAGGGGGAAAAGAGGAGGAGTGAGGGGCACGGCGGAGCCGGCCCTCGACACAAGGCGTGCACGGTGGGGCGGGGGAGGAGGGAAACTCGGGGAACGAACCGGGGAGACCAAGGACGAGACCGTGCTGGGACATGTGACGCAGACGCGGGAGCGCAGGGTGACCTAGGCGGTGGTGCCAAAGGAGAGTCGGGTGAGTGAGGGACCGACAGGAGCAGGCAGCAGCAACCTGGGTAGACGCAGCCACCTGAGGGAGCGCTCCAGCCGGGGGGGTCACGGTGTCCAGAGTGAACAGGCCGGACACTGGGTCCCGGGGGAACGTGGACAGGGGGGCACCAGTGGCGGCCTCGGTACAGACAGCATACCGCTCGTGACCAGGGAACGTAGTGGTGACGCCAAGGTCCTGGAGGCAGCCGACACCAACTAGGTTCCTGGAGAACGAGGGGATATGCAGACCTGTGAGAGTGCCCGAAGGAACCGCCGGACAGGGAAGGGAGGTGGAACTGCGGGCAACGACGGGACCACCGGAGGGGTCAGCAAGAGTAACTGCAGCGGGAACAGGCAGCGGCGTCAGCGTCGTGGAGTCGCGGAAGAAACACCGGGAGGCGCCAGAGTCCAAGGTGAAGGAAAGCGCAGCAGTCGCGCGAGGCAGCAGTGAAGCGGTGGAAGCACCAAGGCTAAGCAAAGCAGGAGATCCTACGCCTGACGCAGCAGGGGAGTCTACGCTAGGCACCGCTACACTAGGCAACACGGGGTAATAAGAGGGAAGCACACTAGAGTCATCAGCATACATCACATGCAAGGCCGCTACAATGGCATCCATGTCCAAGTCAAAAATCCTAATGCTACGCCTAAGCAAGCTGTGCCAGTCCGGGAGGTCGGGCGCCGGGCCAAAGCGCTGGCGGAACAGGTCGTCCAGGCGACGAAAACAGCGAGGAGTAGAATGACCGATCTTACCGCAAACGAAGCCGCGGCGAGGACCGGTCTGGATCTGGTACTGACAGGGCCCGCCTCCAGAACCACCACCCGGTGCACCACCACGCGCACGACCACCACCAGCTCCAGGCCACCCAGGTGGGAGAGTACTCGCCTGCCTCGTCTGCGGCGGCTGCTGCGGCTGCTGCGAAGGCTGCGGCTGCGGCGACTGCTGCTGCTGCGGCTGCTGCAACTGTGGAGGCAGCGGGGCAGCTGGACCGGGCAGGGTCCCCACGTCCGCACCGGCACCGGACGACCCGCCTCCACCACTACCCCCACCCGCACCCCCGCCGCCTCCGCCGCTCCCAACCTTGGGGCGGCGGCCCTTCGCCGAGCGGGACTGCACTGCAGCAGCAGTCTCAGCCACAGCGACAGAGCCGTCGGAGAAGGTACACTGAGCGGGGGCACAACCCTGAAAGATAGGGACCGGTACTGTACCGCTCGCCAGGGCTATGGAGCGGTGACGAGTCTCTATGGCAGTCAGGGTGTCAACAAAGTCGGTGAGGGTGAGAGCAGCAGGGTGGATGCTAAGGAACTGGTCGCGGGCGGCGGCAAGGCGGTCAGGTAGGCGGGTGGCAAGGAGGTAGAGGGTAGAGGTCATGGGAGGCTGGTGGACTCTAAGCTGAGCATCAGTGCAGGCAGCGCGCCAGGCCTCATCTATCGAGCGCAGGTGGGCAGCGAGGTCAGAGACAGTGGGGAAAGACGTCAGGTCAGGAAAGAGCAGGGGAAGGATCAGGCGACCCACTGAGGCAGCAGGAGGGGTAGAATAGCGCTTGATGACAGCATCGAGGTAGGCCTGGGCGGTAGGAATGGTTCTAAAGCGAGGGCGCTCAGTGGGGGGGAGGGCATTGCTAATGGCGAGCTGAGCAAGGGCATCGCGGGAAAGCCAGACAGAGCGGGCAAGGGCAGCAGCGGCAGTGGACTCGCGCTCAGCGGGCGTGGGATCAGCGGGCAGCACAGCAGGGGGGTCAGGGCAGGGGAGCATACCGTCTAGGTGTGCAGAAAGCGGGTGGCCGTCCTGCCGCTGGCCAGTGAGGTGGCGGCGAAGGTCAGCCAACCACGCCTCGAACTCCAGAGGCTGACCCTCAACATCAAAACGAAGCTCAGCAGCCATGAGGGGCAGTGGAGGACAGTGCAGTGCGGTGCAGTGCGATGCAGTGCGGTGCAGTGCGGTCCAGTGCGGTGCAGTGCGATGCAGTGCGGTGCAGTGCGGTCCAGTGCGGTGCAGTGCGGTCAGTGCGATCCAGGGAGGTGCAATGCGATGCAAGGCGGGGCAGGAAAGTGCAGGAGGGTGCAAAGTGGTGCGGGGAACGGGGGACAGTACCAGGAAGTATGGAGGGCCGGGGCAGGTGCGTCGGGGCCGGGCAGGCACGACAAGGCCGGGCGGCGGCGACGGGGCCGGGCGGCTGCGACGGGGCCGGGCGGCGGCGACGGGGCCGGGCGGCAGCGACAAGGCCGGGCGGCTGCGACGTGGCCGGGCGGCTGCGACGGGGCCGGGCGGCTGCGACGGGGCCGAGCGGCAGGGACGAGGCCGGGCCGGACACAGCAGGGCCGGGCAGGGGCGACGGGGCCGGGCGGCTGCGACGTGGCCGGGCGGCTGCGACGTGGCCGGGCGGCTGCGACGTGGCCGGGCGGCTGCGACGGGGCCGGGCGGCTGCGACGGGGCCGGGCGGCTGCGACGGGGCCGGGCGGCAGGGACGGGGCCCGGGCAGGCCACAGCAGGGCCGGGCAGGGGCGACGGGGCCGGGCGGGCGAGCAGGGGCCGGGCAGGTGCGACAGGGGCCGGGCAGCCGCGACAGGGGCCGGGCGGGCGCCACGCGGCCGATAGGCCGCGACGGGGCCGAGCAGGGGCGACGGGGCCGAGCAGGGGCGACGGGGCCGAGCAGGGGCGACGGGGCCGAGCAGGGGCGACGGGGATGGGTAGGGGCGCGACGGGGCCTGGAGGGGCGTTACCAAGGCCAGGTAGGGGCGCGACGGGGCCTGGGGGGAGCGCAATGGGTCCCAGGAGGGGCGCTACGGGGCCTGGGAGGAGCGCGACTGGGCTAGGGAGGGGCGCGACGGGGCCTGGGAGGAGCGCAATGGGGCCCAGGAGGGGCGCTACGGGGCCTGGGAGGAGCGCGACGGGGCCCTGGAGGGGCGCTACCAGGCCCTGGAAGGGGCGCGACGGGGCCTGGAGGGGCGCTACGAAGCCCTGAAAGGGGCGCGACGGGGCCTGGAGGGGCGCTACGAAGCCCTGGAAGGGGCGCGACGGGGCCTGGGAGGAGCGCAAAGGGGCCCAGGAGGGGCGCTACGGGGCCTGGGAGGAGCGCGACTGGGCTAGGGAGGGCGCGACGGGGCCTGGGAGGAGCGCAATGGGGCCCAGGAGGGCGCTACGGGGCCTGGGAGGAGCGCGACGGGGCCCTGGAGGGGCGCTACCAGGCCCTGGAAGGGGCGCGACGGGGCCTGGAGGGGCGCTACGAAGCCCTGAAAGGGGCGCGACGGGGCCTGGAGGGGCGCTACGAGGCCTGGGAGGAGCGCGACGGGGCCCAGAAAGGGGCGCAACGGGGCCCAGGAAGGGGCGCGACGGGGCTAGGGAGGGTCGCGACGGGGCTAGGGAGGGTCGCGACGGGGCTAGGAGCACGACGGGGCCCAGCTAGGGGGCGAGCGGAAGCGTGAGGGGGGGGGGGGGATCCTACCTACGCGTGATACCATATCAAACAGTGAAATTGATGAACAGAGAGAGAGAGTACACAAACATATACCTAACAATTGTACTCTCTAGAAGATGACCCTATACAGTCTATACAAGCATGATAACTAAACATGTTTGACACAACCCATTAGGTTCCGTTGTACCTATGTCATTGTTCTAGTTAATTCTTTCACTTTAACAGACAACTCTTCGTGCTTGTAACTCTTCTCTCCTCTTCCTAGTCCAACTTTTCTCGTGCTACTATGACAGCAGAAGGGACCCTTTCAACACGGATTAACAAGAGTTATGACTAGGGGCGGTAAGTTCAGTGACACAAGAAGTTGATTATTTTAGGGAATGAAAATTACAAAAGGAGGTTAGAACAAGGGCAGTTGCGTGTGACATGACAACACTTGCAGAGTCGCAGCTCAGCAGGCAGTAGTTCTGGCAAGCAACAAATGGTGGGAAACTTTACAAAACACCGCAGCATCAGTTATCCTTCTGGCTTTCAGCAAAACTGTAGCGTATCGAGCAACACCCTGTGTGCTTTGACGCATCCCCAAACGCCAAACCCCTTTGCTGTGCTGGAGGATAAACTGTACTTCGTACGCCTCCTTCCACACAAGCAGCGGATTTGGAGACGTCTCGAGAGTCAAGAGTGATGACTCATGAGGCATCCCTCCCCTCCCTCCCTCCCTCCCTCCCCTCCCTCCCTCCCTCCCTAAGCCTCCTTCAGCTTTGCCTTGTCCTCGCCGAAGTTGGCCCGAGAGCAGTCAGCGAAGAGAGACCACATGATGGTTCCCGAGATGTAGAACGCGATGGATGGGAGGAACATGGCGGTCTGCAACGGGGGACGATGGATGGGGACGCGCAAAAGACAAATGTGATGATTGTCAGCGACGGGCAGCCACACAATGGTTCCGGCGACATAGACAGCGACGGAGGGGAGGACATGCCCCCCTGGAGGGGGAACGGATGGATGGGAGGGGCAGGGGGAGGGACAGTGGGAGGGACAGGGGGAGGGGCAGGGGGAGGGATAGGGGGAGGGATAGGGGGAGGTACAGGGGGAGGGATAGGGGGAGGGACAGGGGGAGGGACAGGGGGAGGGACAGGGGGAGGGACAGGGGGAGGGACAGGGGGAGGGACAGGGGGAGGGACAGGGGGAGGGACAGGGGGAGGGTCAGGGGGAGGGACAGGGGGAGGGACAGGGGGAGGGACAGGGGGAGGGACAGGGGGAGGGACAGGGGGAGGGACAGGGGGAGGGACAGGGGGGAGGGGGAGGGACAGGGGGAGGGACAGGGGGAGGGACGGGGGGAGGGACAGGGGGAGGGACAGGGGGAGGGACAGGGGGAGGGACAGGGAGAGGGACAGGGGGCGCACAACAAGAGAGATGTGATGGTTGCAAACGAAGAACGACCATGTGATGGTTCCGGGGAAGTAGCAAGCGGTGGTGGGGAGAAACATGGCCGTCTGGAGGGGGGTCAGAAGGAGCATCAAGCAGCAAGCAAGCAAGCAAGCAAGCAAGCAAGCACTGACAGAGAAGCCAAGCCACAATCAAAGAAGACACACTCACCGCCCACGAATGCGTCTGGTCAAATAGATAGCCCGTGAGTGGCACGCCCACAATGCCGGGAATGGCCCCAACTGTCGTTGACATTCCCTGCAGAGAGCACACAGCGAAGGCACGCCAGGGCCAGACACAAACAGACACACATTGAGGACACTCAGACACAGACAGGCACCGAAATAACAGACACATACATTCCCTACCTAAACATGCATGAAGGTTGAAATTTGTAAACGATTCAACTCATGGAGGCACACCAACGGACATAGAATATGTAACAAGAGTGATTTCAGAGGCGTATGTACGTTTTTATAGCGAGAGAAGAGAGCAAGGATGGAGCAAGGATGGTGCAGGACCTGCTAATAGGTCACTCACCAGCAGCACACTGGCATGCTTGGGAGAGATGTCCTGATGGGAGCAGTAGAGGCCTGGTGAACAAAGGGAGGATCCAAGGCGCGGGCAGGCAGGCAAAACACGGTGGGAATAGGCAGCGCGCAGATAGGGAGAAGAGGGAGCTTAGTATGGGTAAGGAGTGATGGGAGAGAGCGAGACAGACATAGGAAGGTGAGGTGAGGGCACAGAGAGCAGTGGAATAGAGGGAAGTCCAAAACCGTAGGGGGAAAACGAGAAACAAGCCATGTAATGTAATGGCTAGCGTAAAAAGTTGTCTTACTAGCAGAGTGACTGATAGGGGACTGATAGCGCACGCACCTGCATAGGAGCAGGCAGAGAGGCCAATGCCTGCAGAAAGAGACGCCACCAGCAACCAGGTTGGGAGGTTGTGGTCCGGGCCAAAGCTGGCCACTGCCATGCAGGCTGCCGGACCTAGGAAGGCCATCCCCTGAGCTAGTTTCCGTACCTGACACGGGGGTTGGGTGTGGGTGAGGACTATGAGAAGCAGTGTAGATGGATGGATGGACATCGACTTTTGAGGCTCCTCAGAGATTGGTGTATTTTTGGGCCGAAAAAGGATGCAGGAATTACCTGCGAGGACTCGCCACATATGGATCTGCTGCAAGGATTAATCAGTTAACACAAATCCACAGCACTGAAAAGAAAAAGAACCCACAGGACTGGCATCTATACTGTCTGAGTGATCCACCACTCACACGGCATTATCATAACACTCACCAGGCTGACGCCAGTGCCCTGTGAGACGAGTCTGTCTGCTGCTGGTGCCAGCACTGTTCAGGCAGTAGCATTGAGTCACTCAGAGGCTACCTGGAGTACCTTGCCTTACACACCCACTCAGGCACTCGGGCACTCACCAGGCTGACGTCTGTGCCCTGTGAGATGAGTCTGTCAGCTGCTGGCGCCACCACTGCTGACACGGCGATGGAGAGAAGCGGCGGGAGGAGAGACAGCTGGCAGAGGGGGAAAGGGGGGGAGGGGGAGGGAGGAAAAGAAGAAGAGAAACCGGGGGGGGGCGGGGGGGGGGGGGAAAGGGGGATCAGGAATTTGGTTGGAAGAGAGAAATAGAGCTGCGTGGCAATGGCAAGCTACTGAAGTGAGCGGCAAGGAGCCATGCGCAAGCTGCAGCAGAGATGTGGTGAAGCCTGGCATTAGGTCAAGATGCATGTCGTTGCTGGTGAACTGGTGAGCATCGCCAGTGAAGGCAGCAAGGCAGCAGGGCAGCAGGGCGCTTACCAGTGATGGGAGACGGGGGAAGGGGAGGGCGCTTACCAGTGATGGGAGATGGGGGAAGGGGAGGGCTCTTATCACCAGTGACGGGAGATGGGGGAAGGGGAGGGCTCTTACCACCAGTGACGGGAGATGGGGGAAGGGGAGGGCTCCTACCAGTGATGGGAGATGGGGGAATGGGAGGGCTCCTACCAGTGATGGGAGATGGGGGAAGGGGAGGGCTCCTACCAGTGATGGGAGATGGGGGAAGGGGAGGGCTCCTACCAGTGATGGGAGATGGGGGAAGGGGAGGGCTCCTACCAGTGATGGGAGATGGGGGAAGGGGAGGGCTCCTACCAGTGATGGGAGATGGGGGAAGGGGAGGGCTCCGACCAGTGATGGGAGATGGGGAAAGGGGAGGGCTCCTACCAGTGATGGGAGATGGGGGAAGGGGAGGGCTCCTACCAGTGACGCTTGAGTGATGTCCAGGTGAAGCTCCTTGCTGACAGCGACAGGAGAGAGAGAAAGGGGACGGTAAAAAGGACAAAAGAGGGGAGGGAGGAAAGAGAAGATAGTGAGGCCGAGGATTCGCGGACAAACGCACGTGAACGGAATGGAGAGGCAAAAGCATGTGAACGGAATGGAGAGGCAAACGCATGTGAACGAAATGGAGAGGCAAACGCATGTGAACGGAATGGAGAGGCAAACGCACGTGAACGGAATGGAGAGACAAACGCTATTCAGAAAGATAGTGCACCAAAAGACGACCCCAGCGCTGCCGGGCAGAACAACATGGCAAAACACAGATGCAGCATGGATGGTAAAGAGCCCCATGGCATGACGCATACCTGTAGTAAGTGGGAAGCCAGGCCAGCAGGATGTGGTGGCCCCAGTTGTTGCAGAAGTGCGCATACACCACCGCCTGCACCGCCCGGCTCCTCAGGAGCTCGCCCCACGGCACACTCGGGTCGCCCCCGCCCCCCTCCTCCACCAGCCTCCTCTCTTCCTCGCTCTCCCTCAAATCCTCACTCACTATGTCGCCCTGTGGGGGGGTCAGGGGGAGAGAGGGGACGAGAGGAGGAGAGAGGGGGAGAGAGGGGGAGAAGAGAGGGGAGGACGAGGGTAAGGTACAAAAGCAGAGGGTGCGGGAGAGAAGTAAGGAGAATCGTTAAGACTAGAGATCACGAGTGCACTGTGACAAAGCATGGCTCTTGCATATGTTAGAGCAGACAGTTTATGAGGATCCTCGGCCCACGAGCCATGCATGAGCCATGGCCCATGGATCCTCAGAAACTGTCTGCTCAAAGCCATGCGTCTGGGTGTGAAGCAGATGTGTTGGTGTTGGATAAGCAAGGTGCATACCATGGCATGACACATGAGATGCGTACCGGCGCGTGCCACTCCTCGAAGGTGCAGACGGAGAGCACGGCATGGCATGAAAGTGCATGAGATCGCATGGAAGTGCATGAGATCGCATGGAAGTGCATGAGATCGCATGAAAGTGCATGAGATCGCATGCAAGTGCATGAGATCGCATGAAAGTGCATGAGATCGCATGGAAGTGCATGAGATCGCATGGAAGTGCATGAGATCGCATGAAAGTGCATGAGATCGCATGGAAGTGCATGAGATCGCATGAAAGTGCATGAGATCGCATGAAAGTGCATGAGATCGCATGAAAGTGCATGAGATCGCATGAAAGTGCATGAGATCGCATGCAAGTGCATGAGATCGCATGAAAGTGCATGAGATCGCATGAAAGTGCATGAGATCGCAAGGAAGTGCATGAGATCGCATCATACCGGTGCGTGACACTCCTCAAAGACGCAGACAGAGAGCGCCTGATTCGTGCTGCTGGCTGCGGACTCGTCAAAGTCGGCTGGCAGGGCGTCGGATGGCTTGGGGTTGAAGGCGATGCTCCACACGATCCCCAGCACGCCGAAGATGTAGAACATGCTCTGCCACCCCAGCTGCTGGATCAGCACGGGCGCTGCTAGCAGGCTGTGGTGGGGGGAGGGGAGCGAGGGGGAAAGGAAGCGAGGAAGGAGACGACTTGAAGGCCATGCGCCATGCAATCCCGAGAACGATACAAACCCGTCGCTTATCACTCCCCCTGTCCCATTCCTATCCGTTGCTCTCTTGCTCTATCACCCACCCACTGATCGAAACTGCTCTCTGCGTCTCTGACCCCGACTCCCACCCCACCACCTCCCCTCACTCACCCCACCACCTCCCCTCACTCACCCCACCACCTCCCCTCACTCACCCCACCACCTCCCCTCACTCACCCCACCACCTCCCCTCACTCACCCCACCACCTCCCCTCACTCACCCCACCACCTCCCCTCACTCACCCCACCACCTCCCCTCACTCACCCCACCACCTCCCCTCACTCACCCCACCACCTCCCCTCACTCACCCCACCACCTCCCCTCACTCACCCCACCACCTCCCCTCACTCACCCCACCACCTCCCCTCACTCACCCCACCACCTCCCCTCACTCACCCCACCACCTCCCCTCACTCACCCCACCACCTCCCCTCACTCACCCCACCACCTCCCCTCACTCACCCCACCACCTCCCCTCACTCACCCCACCACCTCCCCTCACTCACCCCACCACCTCCCCTCACTCACCCCACCACCTCCCTCACTCACCCCACCACCTCCCCTCACTCACCCCACCACCTCCCCTCACTCACCCCACCACCTCCCCTCACTCACCCCCACCACCTCCCCTCACTCACCCCCCACCACCTCCCCTCACTCACCCCACCACCTTCCTTCACTCACCCCACCACCTTCCTTCACTCACCCCACCACCTCCCTTCACTCACCCCACCACCTCCCTTCACTCACCCCACCACCTCCCTTCACTCACCCCACCACCTCCCTTCACTCACCCCACCACCTCCCTTCACTCACCCCACCACCTCCCTTCACTCACCCCACCACCTCCCTTCACTCACCCCACCACCTCCCTTCACTCACCCCACCACCTCCATTCACTCACCCCACCTCCTCCCTTAAATCACCCCACCACCTCCCTTCACTCACCCCACCACCTCCCTTCACTCACCCCACCACCTCCATTCACTCACCCCACCTCCTCCCTTAAATCACCCCACCACCTCCCTTCACTCACCCCACCACCACCTGTGCTCCGCACCTCCCCCCTCCCCCTTCTCCCCCTCCCCTTCTCCCCCTCCCCCTTCTCCCCCTCCCCCTTCTCCCCCTCCCCCTTCTCTCCCCCCTCCTTCTTCCCCTCCCCCCCCACTCACCCCACCACGCCTCCCACGTTGAATCCGTTGAACACAAACGCAATGCCGCGCGCCCGCTCCTCTGCTGGCATAGACCTGCGGAAGCAGGAGACGGGGGGGAAGGGGAAAGGGGGGCGGTGGCAAATGGGGAAAGGGGAGGAAAGGATTAGGTGGGCAGAAGGGCCAAACGGGATGCCCCCCGCGCGCTACTCTGCAGGCATGGACCTGCGGGCGCAATGAAGGGGGGCTGGGGGAAAAAGCGGAAAGCAAGGAGGGTAGTCTCGAGGCCGGGGGCTAGACTGCTAGTTTTGACGTTGGGTGCACGGTTCTAGACTCCTATCAGGCGCTAAGGGAAGAAGCGGAAAGCAAAGAGGGGATGAGGGGAGGGAATAGGATGGGGAAGGAAGAAGCAGAAAAGAGCGCAGGTGAGGAGTGGTGCAGTGCGGTGCTTGGCTAACCTGGCAACAATGTCAGTGGCTGCTGGAGGAGCAACGCCCTCCCCGAATCCGACCTGCTCAAAACGAACATGAACATAACACATGGGCGTTATGGGTGTTCAATTAGAAGTAGGAAAGAACACCCGAGTCCGACCTGCTCAATTGAGCACTGGCATAAGACGCGGACGCTATGGGTGATGGCAAAAGATAGAGAGGCCGGTCACACAAGGAATAGCAAGGGATGGTGGCTAGGGAGGAAATGAGAGCAAGGTGAAAAAAGGCGAAAACGTTATGGTCGACTCAAAACGATTGATTCTGATTGCACGTGTTACGTTCCCATTTTTCAAGCGCGTATGATTGCAGGCGTGCGGACTCGTTACGGTTATTGCTGAATGGCTGCCACAGGGTCTCAACAGATGCGTCGATGTGATGCTTGAGGTCAACCCGTTTACACTGTTTTCCATCATGGCTAGGCTTGCGTAAGAATAACGTTTAGTCATGATGATAAGCAGCGAAAACGGGCTGACCGCAAACATGACATCCACGCATCTGTCGATATTCGGTGGTAGGCGCTCAACCATAATCGTAACAAGCTCGCACACCCGCACTCAAACGCGCTCGGAAAGTGAGAAAGTAACACGTACAAACAGAAAGGAGTGCAAGGTTGAGCTGTCTGTCCACGTGATCAACATGGCGCCAGCAAGTGCTGAACTTGAAGGCTCATCACTACTCGCGGCCATACGCCGCGATTTGCCGCATAGAGTTTGTAACGTTGACTCATGCTCCATCTCGTCAAATCGCGAACCGCGCAACTAGAGACTGAAAGAAAACCACTTTCTCACGTCTACCAATTGATCGTAAACAGAGTTAAGAGATGAACGGCTTGCTTATTGCAAAAAAAAGGGCGATGATTGATTGGCTTACTGCAACACGAGAGAAGAGGAGCGAGGGGAGAAAGGACGCAGCAGCAGGGATGGCGGCAGTGGCAATGGACCAGATGAGCACGCCTGCTCGCAGCATGCGGCTGCGATGGGGGGATGGGGTGAAGAGGGGTGAAGAGGGGTGAGCGGCGGGGGTTTTATAAGGCATAGGGGTGGGGGGCACTGCGTTGAGCCTCTGGGATGGCGGCAGTGGCGATGCACCAGATGAGCACGCCTGCTGGCAGCATGCGGTTGGGGAGAGGGGAATGGGTGGGATGGGGGGGGATGGGGATAAGAGAGCAAGGGCTAGGCGTTAGAATGGGGTCGTTGGGGGTACTGGGATGGCGGCAGTTGCGACAGACCGGCTGAGCACGCCTGCTGGCAGCTTGCGGCTGGGATGGAGATGGGTTGAAGAGGGGTGAGAGGCACGAGGTTCGTATGACATGGGTTGTGGGGAACATGGCGCTGGGGCCACTGGCATGGCAGCAGCGGCGATCGACCACACGAGCACCCAGCAGTGGGTCGCAAGAGCTCCCAGATGGCTCGCAGCATGCGGCTGATAAGAGCGCCGTTGGAAGGGCAAGAAGGGGGGTGGGGGGAGATAGAACGACCATATGAATATATAATATAAAAGATACATTTTACATGTATATACATGGAGGTATTGTTACAAGAACGCACGTTCCCGTGAACTTTTGGCAGAGCCAGCCGGCGGGCAGCAGCGAGAGCGCGTAGCCCCAGTAGAAGGACGACTGCACCACGCCCACCGTCGTCGCCGACCACCCGAAGTCGTGCGCCATGGGGATGATCGCGATGCTCAGGTTCACCTGCAGTTGAAGGGGGGAGGGGAAGAGGGGAGGGGGGAGGGGAAGAAGGGAGGGGGAGGGGGGGGGGGGGGGGAGGAGAGATGAGGGGGGGTGATGAGAAGTGCCGGGAGATGAGGGGGGAGGGCGGCGGACCAGCCGAAGTCGTGCGCCATGGCGATGATCGCGATGCTCAGATTGACCTGCAATTGAAAAGGGGGAGGGGAAGGGGGGGGGAGGGAGGGGGAGAGATGAGGGGGGAAGGGGGAGAGATGAGGGGGGAAGGGGGAGAGATGAGGGGGGAAGGGGGAGAGATGAGGGGGGAAGGGGGAGAGATGAGGGGGGAAGGGGGAGAGATGAGGGGGGAAGGGGGAGAGATGAGGGGGGAAGGAGGAGAGGTGAGGGGGGGTGAGGGAGATGGAAGTGGGAGGGCGGCCGACCACCCACAGTCATGCGCCATGGGGATGATCGCAATGCTCAGATTGACCTGCAATTCATCGATCCCTCGATCGGGGGGTGGAAGGGTGAGCGAGCGATGACACGCAGGCTACCTTACACCCACAAAAAGATGCGAGAGAGAAATCAAGAGCGGAAAGGCACAAGCGGCGGACCTTATCCGTGTTGCAGAGTAAAGGTGCGGCAGGGAGCGAGAGAGGGTAAGGAGCGAGAGCGGGTAAGGAGCGAGAGAGGGTAAGGAGCGAGAGAGGGTAAGGAGCGAGAGAGACGTAAGGAGCGGAGAGGCACAAGCGGCGGACCTTATCCATGTTGCAGAGCACGAACGCCAGCGACGTGCTAAAGATGACCCAGTACCGGTCCGGCATGTCTTTAAGCGCTCCTCTCAGCCTACCCAAAGCCGACAGCTCCAATTCCGCATCTTCCCCTTCCGCTTCTCTCCCCCCTTGTATTTCCTCCCCCACTGCTCCAGCCGCTGCCGTCGCCGCGCCGTTCGCCTGTCGACTCGTTTCGCGACGCGCGGGAGCGAAGCTTCCCGCCAGCTCGCTTTCCGAAGGGGTCGTCACCGCGGCTGAGGCGACTGGCTGACGCTGCTTCGACGACGGTAGGAGGCTGATTGGCCGAGCCTTAAGCTCGTTGGTCTGCGCTGCCGAGAAGGACGCGGGATTGCCGTTATTCTCTGACGATGCTCGACACGAGACTGGGAAGGAATACCGAGGCGACGAGAAAGCACGTGGGTTCAAGCCGCGGTGAGCAGACGGTGTCAAGCACCAAGGGTCGACGAGTCCTAATACCTGGTGGCCGCAGGGCGGCCCCGTCCGTCTTAGGCGAGAGGTGGGTGGAATGGTTTGAGACATCTCGGAAGTCGGGATTCTTTGAGACGTCTCTAAGGCCGGGATCCCTGGTAGTTGACACGCCATTGTGGAAAATCGAGCGCGTTTGTCGATTGATAGGCACTCGAATAATCGCGGTGGTGCGTTACGCTAGCCTGTCACCATAACCACGCGGGCCACCGACGGGGCATGCACAGGTTTATCTTCTCGCGAAGCCGTTTCGAGGAAGCGTTTCCAAGTGCCTGTGCCGATGAGGAAAAGAAAAACTGGCTAGAATACCTTCCCCGTAGCGATACCTTGCTATTCCAGTTTCCTGTGGCCCTGAAGTCGCTCCTCGAGCTGACACCAGTATTAGCCTACTCAGTATTAGTCCTGGTCCGGCAATGCAGAAGCAGACTGTTTCCGGGGGACTAACGCTCAATGCAGAAGAGAGTAAGCACACCTCGCGAGCGAGCGAGGCACGGAAGCTCAAGCGAAGCAAAGAGGAACTCTCGAGGTAGCAGCGTAGACTATAATCGAGAGTGAGTGGAGGACAGCCATGGATGGGGTGAGTGGATGGAGTGGATTGGGCGAGTGACTCACTTCAGACACAAGGAAACCATACGCAGCTGGCAATGTACCAGGACGAGCTGCGAAACATGTCGAGCTAACGAAAACAAAAGAGCACGTTACAGCTCCAGAGTAGCCTTATTGCGTTCACCGATTGGGTGAAAACAGACGCGACACTGTTGCGACGGAAATTGCGGAAGCCTGCGAGTTTCGCCGACCTAATTATTCTCGCTGTGGCCAGAAAGCAAGGCGCGGGGCTGCCCACAATGGAACAACGTCCACGTGCATCCAGCAGTAGCGCGCCAAGTGTGTGAATCAAGAGACACTCTACCGGCGCCGACCAATCCCCTCCGTTTGTCTAAGGATATCCTGCCCGTGGTCTGTCCGTGCTTCACGGGCAAATAGGAACAATCACATCGCTGCGCGCATGGCAACGAAAGGAAAGGACACCCAGCGCATGGCTGAATGGAATGTCTCCGATTTTGAGACGGTTCGTTTTCGTAACAACACTCGAAAATTTCTCTGTTTATTGCAGAAGTAAAACACTCACGCTATCTTCAGAACCTCGAGAAGAGAACAACCAAATGTCAGGACCTTGGGAACTGAATGTTTGAATTTCCCGCCACTTTTCTCCATGGCGGTCAGCTCAGCACTTCTCCTTCTGAGCAATTCATGCTTCCAAGCCTCAAGCCCTGTCAACTGGTCTGTTCCCTAGGCCTTTAGCTCCGTTTCCTCTCCAACGGTCACGAGGACTAGTTCCCTCTTCTAATCCCATAGCCCCTGAAAGCATTATTCGTGTGAAAGATTTAGCGTCGACGACACGATAAGGAAAACATAGAAGCTAAAACGAGTCAGAATACGAATTCAGACATCATAGAAGGGACCAGTAGCTCCGGCGCTCTAAATTAAGCTTATCTATCCCCACTCACTGCGCGCCATGCCGGTGTACAACATCTGTTCGATACCCGTGTCGTTTCCGTACGAGGCGTACGACTGCCAGATCGTGTACATGACCAAAGTCATGCAATCTCTCCTTCAGGTGCCCTACGCCTCCTAAGCCTCGGCTTTCCCTCCTCCGCTTGTCGCTTTTCACCGGCATCCTTGAACTTCATTAAGCTGCGCGCGTCAAACCCTCAACCATTCTGTTAGTAACATATATTTCAAAGGCTGTTTCGAACCTATCCATCATTCCGTTTCCTTCACCGCTCCTCTTGGCCCGCAGCCGTTTCGCCGTTTTCCTCTCTCGCTATATTCCCTCCCCGCACGACGGAAACGCGCTGCTGGATAGGTCGACGGGACAGAAGGCACTTTCGCATCCTGTGTGCCTCCTTAGCGCAACTGGTCAGCCTCTACTCATCTTCCTACCGCATGCACTATTTTCCGCGCAGGGCGGAAACGGGCTGCTGGAATCGCCGACGGGGACGGGGAAGGCGCTCTGCCTGCTGTGTGCTTCCGTGGCGTAACTGATCACCCTGTACTAATCTTGTACCCAATTTGCTATTTCCGGCGCAGGGCGGAAACGGGCTGCTGGAATCGCCGACGGGGACGGGGAAGACGCTCTGCCTGCTGTGCGCGTCCCTGGCATGGCAGGCCAGCCTCATCTGCGCAAAGAAGCGGAGAGAAGCGGAGCTGCGGAAAGCCGTGCGCGAGGGGCGAGGGACGGTGCGCCAACCGAGCCAGGGGACCGAAGGCGGGGGAGTGCACCTGTCGCAGGGGTCGTACGAATCGTCGCAGGGATCGCAGGGGTTGGGGAAGCAGCAAGAGATGAAAGGAAGGGTTGGGGAATGGGGCGAAGGCGGGGGCATAGGATGCAGTAGCGGAAGCAAAGGGGGAAGTCAGAAGTTGAGGAATGGGGTCGGGGGGAATGGCTTGCCAGGGGTAGGCGGCGGAGTAGGTCCGCCAGGAGCGGGAATGGCGGAGGGAGGCGACTTCGAGGAGGAGAGGATTCCGACGATTATCTATGCGTCACGCACACATGCCCAGCTGCAGCAGGTGGTGCGAGAGCTGAAAGCGACCTCGTACCGGTAAGTGTGAGGGGAGGGATGGGGGGTGGAGTGCATTCTGGGGTCACAAGAGCACACATGCCCAGCTGCAGCAGGTGGTGCGAGAGCTGAAAGCGACCTCGTACCGGTGAGTGTGATGTGGGAGCTGAGAGGCAAGGCACAGAACCACACGTGTTTTGAGTGCCTCATTACGTTCTCCAAGTCTGCCCCTCCCCTTGTCGTGGGCAGTCCGCGCATGTGCATTCTGGGGTCACGAGAGCACACGTGCGTGCATAAGAAGGTGTCCAAGCTGAGAGGCAAGACGCAGAGCCACACGTGCAGGCAGCTGGTCAAACGGCGCAGGTGCCACCACAACCTCATGGCGGCAGGTGACTACAACCCTGAACCCTTAACCTGTCCGGAACCTAACTTTGAAAAACCACACGGTGCAGAACCACACTTGCAGGCAGCTGGTCAAACGGCGCAGGTGCCACCACAACAACCTCATGGCGGCAGGTGACTACAACCCTGAACCCTTAACCTGTCCGGAACCTAACTTTGAAAAACCACACGGTGGTAGAAAACTAGGAGATCTAAGTCTATTCTCTCTTTCTTGTAACCGCCCTCTTCTTCCCCTCTTCCCTCTCCCTTCCTTTCTAATCCCCCTCTCCCCCCTCCCCAACCCCGCTCCTCTCTCTTCCCCCTTCCTCTCAAGCTCTCATTGTCTCCTCCTTCCGTCTCCCCTGCCCCTCAACGTATTAGAATAAACTGAAAGCCACGCTCTACCTTCCAGCACTCTCCTGTTCCCCAATTCCCTGTTCTCCTCCTGAACCTTCCCCTTTCCCCTCGCCCGCCTTCCTCGTACCCCAGAGTATGTCAGGATGAACCCGAACAAGGCGTCAGAGCCGCATGACATTGAGGACCTGGTGAAGCTGGGCCGCATGGAGGGACCGTAAGTGCCGGGTGCTGTGAGTGAATGGGGGATTGGAGTGTGCATCAACTCGTGAGTTTGTGTGAACCCACACAAGGCGTCAGTCAGAGCCGCATGACATAGAGGACCTGGTGAAGCTGGGCCGCATGGAGGGACCGTAAGTGCCGTGTGCTGTGAGTGGACGGATGAATGAGAGTGTGCATCAACTCGTGACTTTGCATTAAGGCGTCCGAGCCCCATGACATTGAGAACCTGGTCATGCTGGGACGCATGGAGGGACTGTAAGTGCTTGCTTCGTTGAGTGACCGCTGTCAGTCAAGTGTCCGCTGTCAGGTGTCCACTGTCACGTGCCGTTGGTCGGCTGTCGGGTGCTTGCTGTCAGGTGTCAGATGTCGGGTGTCAGCTGTCAGATGTCGTTTGTCAGCTGTCAGATGTCGTTTGTCAGCTGTCAGCTGTCGGCTGTCGGCTGTCGGGCATTTGCTGTCGGCTGTCGTCTGTGAGGAAACGACAGATCTACACCCAAATCAAAACAAATCCGACAGGAATGCACCCGAATATTTCGCGCCAATGAGAGGCGAGATTCTTGCGCATGCGCAGTCAACAAATTCGGACTGACGTGTAGAGTTGTGCATTCGCGACAAAACTTTCCAGCACAATTCGTTGTGCTACAATTCGGCAGAAAATGCCAAACTAGACAATGACATTTCGGGCAGCGTCATGGGCAAATATATAAAACCCAGAGGGGCCCGACATGCCATTCGAGATGGCATCAACCCTAAACTCGCGGTCCTTTTTCGAGTTTAGGGTTGATGCCACCCCGAGTCACATGCTGGGCCCCTATGGGTTTCTTGTTTTTGTCGGCTGCACAAAACTACTGTACGTATACAGTTCATCGCCCAGCTTGTTGCTGACTGTCAGGATTGGGCGATTCTACAGCAAATCGCTGATTCGAAGATTCGGGTGCATTTTTGTCGGATACGTTTTGATTCGGGTGCATTTTTGTCGGATACGTTTTGATTCGGGTGTAGATATGTCGTTTCCTCGTCGTCTGTCGGGCATCGGCTGTCGGGTGTCGGGCGTTGGCTGTCGGCTGTCGGATGTCGGCTGTCGGCTGTCGGCTGTCTGCTGTCGGGTGTCGGCTGTCGGCTGTCGGTTGTCGGCTGTTTGTTGTCGGCTGTCGGGCGTCGGCTGTCAGGTGCTGGTCGTCGGGCGTCGGCTGTCGGGCGTCGGGTGTCGGATGTCGGGCATCGGCTGTCGGGTGCCGGGCGTCGGCTGTCGGTTGCCGGGCGTCGGCTGTCGGTTGCCGGTCGTTGGCTGTCGGCACTTGCTGTCGGGTGTCGGCTGTCAGCTGTCGGCTGTCGGCTGTCGGGTGTCGGCTGTCGGGCGTCGGCTGTCGGGTGTCGGGCATTGGCCCTCGGTTGTGGCTGTCGGCTGTCGAGCGTCGGCTATCGGCTGTCGCCTGTCAGCTGTTTGGTGTCGGGTGTTGGGTGTCGGCTGTCGGTTGTCGGCTGTTTGTTGTCGGCTGTGGGGCGTCGGCTGTCAGGTGCTGGTCGTCGGGCGTCGGCTGTCGGACGTTGTCTGTCAGGTATCGGCTGTTAGGCGTCGGTTGTCGGGTGTCGGGTGCCGGGCGTCGGCTATCGGATGCCGGGCGTGGGCTGTCGGGTGCCGGTCGTTGGCTGTCGGCTGTCGGGCATTTGCTGTCGGGTGTCGGGTGTCGGCTGTCGGCTGTCGGGCGTCGGCTGCCGGGTTTCGGCTGTCGGTCGTCGGCTGTCGGGTGTCGGCTGTCGGACGTCGCTGTCGGGTATCGGCTGTCGGGCGTCGGTTGTCGGGTGTCGGGCGTCGGCTGTCGGGTGCTGGGCGTTGGCTGTCAGGTGCCGGTCGTTGGCTGTCGGCTGTCGGGCGTCGTATGTCGGGCGTTTGCTGTCGGGTGTCGGGTGTCAGCTGTCGGGCGTCGTATGTCGGGCGTCGGCTGTCTGGTGTCGGCTGCAGGGCGTCGGCTGTCGGGCGTGGGTTGTGGGGTGTCGGGTGTCGGGTGTCGGGTATCGGGCGTCGGCTGTTGGGTATCGGCTGTTGGGCGTCGTCTGTCGGGCGTTGGCTGTCGGGTGTCGGCTGTCGGGTGTCGGCTGTTGGGCGTCGTCTGTTGGGCGTTGGCTGTCGGGTGTCGCCTGTTGGGCGTTGGCTGTTGGGTGTCGGCTGTCGGGCGTGGGCTGTCGGGCATTGGCTGTCGAGCATCGGCTGTCGGGCGTTGGCTGTTGGGTGTCGCCTGTTGGGCGTCGGCTTTTGGGTGTCGGCTGTCGGGCGTGGGCTGTCGGGCGTGGGCTGTTGGGTGTCGCCTGTTGGGCGTCGGCTGTTGGGCGTCGGCTGTTGGGCGTCGGCTGTCGGGCGTCGACTGTCGGGCGTTGGCTGTCGGGCGTTGGCTGTCGGGCGTCGGCTGTCGGGTGTCGGCTGTCGGGCGTCGTATGTCGGGCGTCGGCTGTCTGGTGTCGGCTGCAGGGCGTCGGCTGTCGGGCGTGGGTTGTGGGGTGTCAGGTGTCGGGTGTCGGGTATCGGGCGTCGGCTGTTGGGTATCGGCTGTTGGGCGTCGTCTGTCGGGCGTTGGCTGTCGGGTGTCGGCTGTCGGGTGTCGGCTGTTGGGCGTCGTCTGTTGGGCGTTGGCTGTCGGGTGTCGCCTGTTGGGCGTTGGCTGTTGGGTGTCGGCTGTCGGGCGTGGGCTGTTGGGCATTGGCTGTCGAGCATCGGCTGTCGGGCGTTGGCTGTTGGGTGTCGCCTGTTGGGCGTCGGCTTTTGGGTGTCGGCTGTCGGGCGTGGGCTGTCGGGCGTGGGCTGTTGGGTGTCGCCTGTTGGGCGTCGGCTGTTGGGCGTCGGCTGTTGGGCGTCGGCTGTCGGGCGTCGACTGTCGGGCGTTGGCTGTCGGGCGTTGGCTGTCGGGCGTCGGCTGTCGGGTGTCGGCTGTCGGGCGTCGTATGTCGGGCGTCGGCTGTCTGGTGTCGGCTGCAGGGCGTCGGCTGTCGGGCGTGGGTTGTGGGGTGTCGGGTGTCGGGTGTCGGGTATCGGGCGTCGGCTGTTGGGTATCGGCTGTTGGGCGTCGTCTGTCGGGCGTTGGCTGTCGGGTGTCGGCTGTCGGGTGTCGGCTGTTGGGCGTCGTCTGTTGGGCGTTGGCTGTCGGGTGTCGCCTGTTGGGCGTTGGCTGTTGGGTGTCGGCTGTCGGGCGTGGGCTGTTGGGCATTGGCTGTCGAGCATCGGCTGTCGGGCGTTGGCTGTTGGGTGTCGCCTGTTGGGCGTCGGCTTTTGGGTGTCGGCTGTCGGGCGTGGGCTGTCGGGCGTGGGCTGTTGGGTGTCGGCTGTTGGGCGTCGGCTGTTGGGCGTCGGCTGTCGGGCGTTGGCTGTCGGGCGTTGGCTGTCAAGTGTCGGTTGTCGGGCGTCGGCTGTTGGGTGTCGGCTGTTGGGTGTTGGCTGTCAGGTGTTGGCTGTTGGGCGTTTGCTGCCGGGTGTCGGCTGTCAGCTGTCGGGCATCGGGTATCGGGTGTTTGCTGTCGGTTGTCGGGTGTCGGCTGTTAGGTGCCAGTCGTCGGGCGTCGGGTGTCGGATGTTTGCTGTCGGGCGTCTGCTGTCGGGCGTCGGCTGTCGGGTGTTTCGGCTATCGGTTATTTTGGCTGTCATGTGTCGGCTGTAGGGTGCGACTTCTGGCTCTCTGCTCCCTGTCCCCACAGCTGCTCCAACTACATCTCGTGCGGCTTCCTGGAGAATTTGGAGATTATTGTCATGCGCTACAACCACGTGCTGGACAGGGACTATCAGTGCACACCCGACACTCCACTGCTCATGCTCCGCATCCCTGTCCCTTGTCCCTTGGCCCCTCAGCGGCCCCTACTACATCTCACGGGACTTGCTGAGATAATCTTCATGCCCTACTACTACGTGCTGGACCGCGAGTATTTTTGCGCACTCGTGACACTCGAAACCTCCCTCGTCCTGTGCCCACATCCCTCAGCTGCCCCTACTACATCTCACGGGGATTCCTGGAGAAGGCGGAGATAATCTTCATGCCCTACAACTACGTGCTGGACCGCGAGTACCGCAAGAACCTCAGTGCGCTCAGGCTGGAGGGCGCCGTGCTCATCTTCGACGAGGCACACAACCTGGTGGGTTCTCTTTTGCTCGCAGCCGCTCAGTTGAGTTGGCCTTCAGTTCCCGGTCACTTCCCGGTCACTTCCCGGTCACTTCCTGTGCTGGTCGTGAACGCAGCCCACAACCTGGTGAGTTGTTTCCTGCCAGTCGCTTTTCCCTTGCGTCTGCTGCCAGTTTAGTCACCTCACCACCCAATCAGAGGGCTGTGCTCTCGCCTCTCCCATCCTTCACCGTCTCCACTTACCCGTGCTTCCAGGAGCGATTGCTAGCAGACCAGGCATCAGTGCAGCTCTCCACGTCCCTCCTCTCCGCCTGTGCAGCCGAAGCAGCCAAATGTGCCGCCATTGCCACGGCCCGCGTCTCCTTTGCACCTTCCAGCTCCCAACCCCCAGAGGGAGGGGATGGGGGAATGGGGGGAGGCGGCAAAGGAGGGAGGGGAGAACGAGGAGGAAGGGGAGGGGTTAGAGGAGGAAGAGGAGGGGGAAGAGGGGGGGGAAGGGGAGGGAACGTGATGGTGGGAGGGCTTGGAGATGGGGATGGTGGTGGGGGAGGAGGGGGGCTGGGGGGTGGGGGAGTGGCGCCTGACACGTACACCATTCTGCATGGTCTGCTGCTGGCAATGGAGAGCAAACTGTTTGACTTCCCCATGCATGCCTTCGTGCATGGCTTTGCTGTTGCTGCCCGTGCTGCTGCTGCTGGTGCCGATGGTGCTGGTGCTGCCGGCGGTGTTGCTGCTGCTGGTTGTGGACTTGCTGGTGCTGGTGCTGGTGCTGGTGCTACCATAGGAGGCATGCCTGCCAGTGCAGGGGGGGCGTGGAACAAAGGGCGAGTGGTGGGCGGAGGGGAGGAGGTGGGCGTGGCCTTCCCAGGGAGCTACATCTACGAGTTTCTGGCACAGCTCAACATCACCCCTGCGACTTCCCTCTCACTGCTCTCAACCGTACAGCACGCCCTGGTGCTGCTCTCAGATGGTATGCAGTGTTTGTCTGTAGGTGAGCTGAGCAGAAATTTAGTGCCCTAGCGCTGTTCCCACGCAGACAGCGTGTCTGGCCTTCCCAGGAGCTACAGCTACGAGTTCTTGGTGCAACTCAACATCACTCCTGCCATGGCGCTGTCCACCACTCTCCACCGTACAGCACGCCCTGCTGCTGCTCTTGAATGGTGGGTCTCTATCAGGTCATCCACCAGGCCAACGACCATCAGGCCAACGACCACCAGGTCAGTTTTCAGGTGCTCTGCTGCTCCTGGGTTCTGGCCCATCAAATGCTGAAGGCACAGTCGCGCACACAGACGACTAGCAGCACCGTTTGCTTATCATCTGCCTGACTCTCAAACGTCACCACCCGCCACGCCTCGTCCCGGAGCAAGGACACGGCCCCATCCCATCCTGAACCACAGTGCAGCAGTCTCCAATCGACTTTTGAGGCGCCTCAAAAGTCGTCTCTTTGTCCGCGGATTCAATACAGGAAGAATTTCGGTTGCTTGGAAGTGTGCACGTAACGTGCAACAACTTTTGGTTCGCGCGAGGTTACCACCTGCAGGTTCCAAGGCTCCCGAGGACAAACCCGAGGAATGACGGGGCACCTAGGTTTTTTCCGCAGTGCTTTGTTGGCTTACTTCTTATCTAGTTGTGGGCCCGGGTAGGATTTCCCCAGAGTAGATCTCGAGGCTTGGGTGTCTTTTTAAGACCCCTCGCTCTGAGGTTTCTTTTTCACTACCAGCTCATGCACTGACGAAGGTGTTGTGGGTCTGATCCCCACCACCGAAACATGTTTGCTCGTTGATTCAATTCAAGGGCCGGTTGAGAGACTTTTTCGAGTTCACTTAATTTCTGAGGGTACAAGTTTTTTTCTAACTGTCAGTTTTTTTGCTAACGCGACCTTCCTACGCTGCTGCTACTCTTCCACGACAACAGTCTCCAATCGGAATTTCTCCCCTACAACCCCTTCCCCTTTCTCACTCTATCCTTCCTTCTTCCGCTCCTCCCCCCCCTTCCCGTCACCGCTCTCTGCTCTGCCCCGTGCTTTCATCCCCTACCAGACGCGGCAGCACTATCACCTGGGGAAGCGGAGGCGGGCGGGGCAGAGGCAGGAGGGGAGAGGGAAGGGGGCACCGAGGGGGGGTCAGGGGCAGGGAGAGGAGCAGGAGGAGGGCCAGCAGTGTCGTTTCGTCTGGAGCAGCTGGTGACGGCGCTGCAGCAGATCTTCCCCTCCGGAGGACCCCCGTCCACATCCCACTCCAATTCGTTCAAGGTGCGTGTCTGAGCTCAGGCGTTGGTCTGAGCTCAGGGGGGGGTCTGAGCTCAGGCGTTGGTCTGAGCTCAGGCGTTGGTCTGAGCTCAGGCGTTGGTCTGAGCTCAGGCGTTGGTCTGAGCTCAGGCGTTGGTCTGAGCTCAGGCGTTGGTCTGAGCTCAGGCGTTGGTCTGAGCTCAGGCGTTGGTCTGAGCTCAGGCGTTGGTCTGAGCTCAGGCGTTGGTCTGAGCTCAGGCGTTGGTCTGAGCTCAGGCGTTGGTCTGAGCTCAGGCGTTGGTCTGAGCTCAGGCGTTGGTCTGAGCTCAGGCGTTGGTCTGAGCTCAGGCGTTGGTCTGAGCTCAGGCGTTGGAGTCACCTTTCTTCAAAGGCGCCTCAGGAGCAGGAAGAGGAGGAGCGTCGTTCCGAGTGGAGCAGCTGCCAGCTGCTGACGGCGCAGCGTCGTCCCCTCTGGAGGACCCCCGTGCACATCCCAATCCTATTCGTTTAAGGTGCGTTTCTGAGCAAAGGTGCTGGAGACACTCTTTTTTTTTAAGGAGAATCAAGAGCCAGGAGCGTCTGTGGCTGCACCCTCCTTGGTTCGAAGTTCAACTGGTGGTGGTGCTTCGTCCACTAACCATTCCCCCATGCCTCATGCTCCTAAATCCTCAACCTTCCACGCAGGTGTGCATAACAGAGCCCAAGGTTACGGCAAGAAGGGTGCATGTGCATCTATGGCCAGCTCAACGTCTGTGGCCGCACCCTCCATGATTTGCATGCTCAACTGGTGGTGCTTCATCGAACATCCAGCCCCCGTCCCTCGTTCTCTTGCAAACCCATTCCCGTGTGTAATGACCCCCGTGTGTAAAAATCGACTCATTACCCCCGTCCCTCGTTCTCTTGTAAACCCATTCCCCCTCGCAGGTGTGCATAACAGAGCGCAAGGTGAAGGCAAAGAAAAATGCATCGGTGGCCGCACCCGCTGTGGTTCGAACACTCAACTGGTGGTGCTTTGACCCGGGGCTCGTGATGCAGCAGATCCGAGCTCTGGGGGTTCGCTCCATGCTGCTCACCAGCGGGACCCTCGCTCCGCTGCAGCCCTACGCGTCCGAGCTCAGAGTGTGAGTGTGTGGTGCGGCACTGGTGTGTGTTTTTTTCTATGCTCGCATTTGGAATCGGTGCTTCGACCGGGGGCTCGTCATGCAGCAGATCCGAGCTCTGGGGGTTCGCTCCATGCTGCTCACCAGCAGGACCCTCTCTCCGCTGCAGCCCTACGCGTCTGAGCTCAGCGTGTGAGTGCCTTTTGACACTCCCCCTCTTCCCCCCCCTAATGCTTTGCTCTGTGTTGGTCACCCTTTCTCCTCTGCAGCTCAACGTCTGCATGCTCTAGATGGTCCTTCCACTCCTCGCTCCCTCGCTCCCCTCGTCCCTCCCTTCCTCCCCCCTCCCCTTCCCCTCATGCTCCACCTTCCGCAAACAATCCATTTCAGCAGCAGCTGGAGAATGCACACGCGATAAGCCAGGAGCAGGTGTGGGCGGGCGAGCTGCCAGCGGCGCTATCAGGAGTGAATCGCAACTTGCTGCCTTCCCCCTCCCTCCTGACCCCTCAACCAGGCCCTTTCAGCACCAGCTGGAGAACGCACACGTGATAAGCCAAGAGCAGGTGTGGCCGGGCGTGCTGCCAGCGTGGCCGTTAGGGTCGCCTCTCAAGTGCTGCCTACCCCCACCCCCCCACCCTCCTCAAACAGACCCTTTCAGCAGCAGCCGAAACAAGCACGTCAGAAGCCAGGAGCTGGTGTGGCCAGTGGGTTTGTCACTAGAAACACCAGCCCCCAACCGCCCCCCCTTCCCCCCCACTGGTACAAAACAGACCTTTTCAGCAGCAGCTGGAGAATGCGCACGTGATAAGCCAGGAGCAGGTGTGGGCGGGCGTGCTGCCAGTGGGGCCGTCAGGAGTGGCCCTCAACTCGGGCTTTAAGACGCGCTCCCAACACGACTATCTGCACGACATGGGCTCCGCTATAGGTATGCTTCATTATAGGTGTGTTGTGATATAGGCGTGCTTAGTGTTCTTTATCTATTTGCTTTCCTCAAAGTATGCATGGCTATCGGTGAAATAGTGCTTCCTTTGCCGCGTCCCTTCTCTGTTTTCTCACTCCTCTCTTCTAAGGTCCTCTGCCATATCCTTTTGGCAGTCGAGTCAACCTGAAGTCATACTCTCAGGGTTCTTCTCTCGTCTACTACACCATTCGCCTGCTGCAGGTCTAGGGTTTAGGGTCCAGTCACACCGTTCGCATGCTGCGGGGACAATGCCAAATGCTATTCCTGAACCCTCCCATGTCCCCTCCGTGCCCCTTCTGCCCCCTCGCAGTCAACATCTGCCGCATTGTCCCGGGCGGCGTGCTTGTCTTCTTCCCCTCCTACTCCTGCATGGACTCGTCCCTCCAGGCCTGGCAACTGCCCGTATGTCTCCTCTCCGTGCCTCTCTCACACTCCTCCCTCACACACCTACCTCTCACACCTACCTCTCACACCTCCCGCTCACACCTCCCGCTCACACCTCCTCCACACAACTCTAACACGCCTCTGTCACACCCCTCTCATACCTTCTCTCTCACACCATACCACAGCAGCGCTCACTGTTATGTTTGTCCCTCCACTACCCTTTGCCCCCAAGTTCTTTCCAATAACTTAAAGAATGAACCATTTTCCCTACCATTCTGCTGCTATCTATTGTATCGTCCTTCTGCCCATCCTTCCTCCACCACTTCCTTCTTGCTCACCCACCCTCCGTCCCTTCTCTCCCTGCCATCCAGCCTGCAGGGCGGCAGGATTCGGCAGCATTATCGGTGTGGCAGCGCATTGGCATGCACAAGCAGGCAGTGGTGGAGCCAAAGGACTCGGCACTGCTGGGTCAGGCCAGGGAGGTGGGTGATGATGCCTGGTCAAACAAGGGAGATAGAGCAGAGAGGCATGGCGCATCGCGTCGGCATGCACAAGCAGGCAGTGGTGGAGCCAAGAGACTCGGCACTGCTGGGTCAGGCCAGGGAGGTGGGTGATGATGCCTGGTCAAACAAGGGAGATAGAGCAGAGAGGCATGGCGCATCGCGTTGGTATGCACAAGCAGACAGTGGTGGAGCCAAGAGACTCCGCCCTGCTGGGTCAGGCCAGGGAGGTAAGCCTGGTGGCATGTCCATAAATTGCTGTCTGGAGGTAAGTCTGTGTGAGGGGGGGCTTCCACAAGCATTGGCATTCTTTTATATTGCAAAGCACTTACAGACTTCCGTTTGTGTGGTTAAAGTTTTTCTGAGCTTGTTTCTCAGCGCCTCACGCCTCCCCGCTATTCTGTCATCTCTCCTCTCCCCTGTCCACCACCCTCCTCTCTCATCCTCCACCCGCCAGGACTATGTGCGGAAGCTGGAGGAGGAGGGGTCGAAGGGTGCAGTACTGTTTGCTGTGTGCCGGGGCAAGGTGGGTGGAGGGGCAAGGTGGGCATTACTTTTCCAGAGCTTATCAGAAGCAGGACAAAAGCTTCCGTTGCTTAGCTCCTAGAGCATGAAGGGTGCCACTTCATGTTGACTAATCCCATATGTTCACGCTTCTGTGCATGCATGGTGTATGGATCATGTCCAGACACATGTGTGCGTGCGTGTCTTTTTTGCATCCATGGATGTGCACACGCATTTGGTTCACATGCCTACTTGCTACCCTGAACTGAGTCCCGTCCTCCTGTGCAGGTGAGCGAGGGGATCGACTTTGCGGACAATCTGTCTCGGGCTGTCGTCATCACTGGCATCCCATACGCACAGCAGATGAGCCCGCAGGTGAGCCTTGAGGCGCCCCTTAAGGCACTGTTTAGCCTCCAAATACCGCATGCTGTCGTCATCGCCGGCATCCCATACGCACAGCAGATGAGCCCGCAGGTGAGCCTTGAGGCGCCCTTAAGGCACTGTTTAGCCTCCAAATACCGCATGCTGTCGCCATCGCCGGCATCCCATACGCACAGCAGATGAGCCCGCAGGTGAGTCTCGATGAGTGCTACAACCCGGATGTTCTCATTGCATGACACATGCTCACGTACTCATCTGGCACCCCTTACGCGCGGCAGCAAGTGAGCCAGGCGCATGCACATTTTCATGCAAAATATTTTTTTGCGAACATGGATAGCCGCACATATTTGTTCCAGTCACAGCAGCGAGGCTGGAACCTAACAACCATGTACTCGCCACCACAACAACCCCCCACCCCCCCCTCCCCCTCCTCCCCCCCCTCTCTCCCCAGGTGGTTCTAAAGAAGGAATATTTGGACGAGCGGGTCACAGCCCAGCAGCACCAACTCTACAAACAGCCTGATGCTTTCACCGCCAACTCTGCTTGCATTGTGAGTTTGGAACTGTGCCGATCATATGCTATTTCAGCAGCCTAACGGATGGGGGTGGGGAGTGATCCAAGGGGGGAGAAAAGGAGCTTGCAGGGACGTGCCTTTACCTCTCGGCAGAGCGTGTGCCTCTACTGTCAGCTGGAAGGGCGGGAGAGGGGAACAAGGGGAGGTTGTGAGGTCACCTGCAGGGACACGCTATCGTTGCCTGGCAATGTGTGTACCTCCACTGTCGCCAAACGTGGCGGACATAATAAAACACCCTCTGCAACCTCACCTCCTCCCTTCTCTGAAGAAAACACCATTTCTTTTTTAGAATTCCCATGAAACGCCTCACAATCGTACGCAACCTCTCAGCTCGTATTGCTGAGAAATACTTGGCTCCGCAGCAAGCTCTCTAAGAGCATTGCGAGTCTGGAACCGTGCCGATCACATGCTATTTCGAACGCTCCAAGCTGTTGATGACGGCAGAGGGAGGGGATCCAAAGTGGATGCCGGCAACGAAGGAGCCCGTGGAGATCGTCCTACTTCCGGGCGAGGAAACAGAGACACGTGTTCGCCTGACGTGTGTGCTCACTGAATCGGAAGACTACTACATGCTCCTCTGCATGGACTCGCTCTTCAAGGTGGGGGCAACCATTTGCACCTGGTCGGACAAGGTGCTCTTTCGGAGCCGCTACTGGAGCACGGACTGTCCGCTACTGTCGGAAGAGCACCTTCTCCGACCAGGTGCAGATGGTTGCCCCCACCTTGAAGAGGAAGTTCATGCCAAGGAGCACGTCATAGTCCTCCGACCCAGTGAAGACACAAGTCAGACGTACATGTATCTCTGTTTCCTCGCCCGGTAGTAGGACGATCTCCACTGGCTGCTTCGTCGCCGGCATCCACTTTAGATCCCCTCCCTCTCTCGTCATCAACAGCTTGGCGCATTGAAAATAGCATGTGATCTGCTTGCATTGCTCACTCCGTTTGTGCTGCCTAATGTTGTCAGGCAATAAGGCAAGTGATTCCCTCCCTCCTCTTCTGACCTCTTACCTTCCTCCCCTATCAATTCCCAGTCGCCAGTGTCAGGGGCACTGTGCCCTCCTAAACTTCCACCCCCCTTTCCCCTTCACACCAGTCGCCAGTATCAGGAGCGCAGTGGTACACCCTGGATGCCATAAGGGCCGTGAATCAGGCCGTGGGGCGGGTGATTCGGCACCGCAACGACTTTGGATCCATCATTCTGCTCGATGAGAGGTGGGAGAGGGGGAGGGGAGAGGAGAAAGGGGGGTTGTGAGATTGGAAAGCTGGGTAAGGTGGGGGGAGAGGGAAAGGGTAAAGGTGAGAAGTGATTCGGCACCACCACAACTAGAGTTGATTTGGCTCCTGTGGGCGAGAGGCTGGGGAGAGAAAAAGGGGCAAGGGATGTTGGTTGCTAGAGGGAGATATAGGGAAGTTGAGTCGGAGGAAAGGTTTCGGGTCGGTGGTCTTAGCACCGACATGACGCGGGATCCATAACTTCCTGCTGGAGACTATTGAGCATACCTTAAACCAATGGGCGGGTTCTTAGCCTGCTTGGATCAAGCTAAGAAACCGCCCGTTGCATGCCTCCTTTCCCATACCAGCTTTGCCTTCGATTTTACGCGTATTTGCCCGTTCCTGTTGAAAGAACTAGCTTTGAGGAGAAGAAAATAATGGATCAAGGAGCCAAGAGGCTCTATTGTACAAACAAGGAGCAAAAAAGAGGTGAAAGGGAAGCTCTCCTATTGGCCATAATGTGGACCAGTGGGAGAGGTTGCTTGAAAGGCAAGCAACCACAAAGTGTGGTGCTTGGTAAATGGTTGTTCGTAGGACCATTTGGTTGAAATAGTGCAAACCAAATGTCTAGGGCCAAATCCAATCTTGACCAACCCAAATGTGGAGTTGGCCAACCCAACCAACAACCCCCAAATAAATATAATGACTACACCTCCCAACTAGGCATGCATGTTGTATATACATATATTTTACAACACACGTCTCTCCCTCATCAGGTTCGCAGACCCTAAGCTGAAGGACCGCCTTTCCATGTGGATCCGCCCAGCGCTCAAGGTGCCCTCCCACTCCCTGTTTCCCTCGCTCCTCTCTTTCACGCTCACTTTCACGGTATTCTCTGTTTGTATTCTCTATTACCCAGTCTCACGTACCTCTGTCAAAATGTAACGCTCCTCTGTCCAAAGTTCTTGATCTTGCAGTGAGAGTTGTGTCTTGATTTCCCTGCACCATCTGCTTTTGCTGCTGCATCGTGCTCCTGCCTGGACCCCTCTCAGTTCCTCTCACGGTTTAATGCCATTCTTGGTTTAATCTCCCTCTGGTCTTGTTTTGAAGCGCCTCAAACTCAGTTCCACTCACGATTTAATGCCATTCCTGGCTTAATCTCCCTCCCGCCCTCCATTTCTCTTCGTCACGCCCTTGCCTCATCCCATCAGGTCTACAGTTGGTTCGGCGAGGCGGCATTCTCCCTCACCAAGTTCTTTCGCAACCAACCCCATGCAGCCCAGCCCAAGCCCCGCCCTCCCCTTCTTGTTCTGTCCCCATCTTACAATGCCCTTGCCTCACCCCATCAGGTCTACAGTGGTTTCGGTGAGGCGGCGTTTGTTCTCTTCTTTCTCAACCAACCCGATGCAGTCCAGCCCAAGCCTGCTCCCCCCCCCGCCATGTGCCCTCCCCACACCTCCATGCCCAAATGACATCCCCCATCAGGTCTACAGTGGCTTCGGCGAGGCGGCATTCTCCCTCACCAAGTTCTTTCGCAACCAGCCCGATGCAGCCCAGCCCAAGCCTGTGCTCCCAGAGCCCCTCTCCTCCAACGGCACCCATTCACCGTCGCACGTGCATGCTGCTGGCCCCATGGCCAGGCACGCAGCAGAAGCCGTTGCTGCTGCTGTTTCGCCTGCAATGGAATTCATCTCGCTCCTCCCTCCCAGCCGTTCATTGCTGGAATCGGGTAAGGGTTAATACACCCCGTCGGTTGGGATAATACACCCCGTCGGTTGGGTTAATACACCCCGTCGGTTGATCACACACTAGTTTTTTTACGCAGCGGTGGTGCAAGGCCGACTATGAAAACCTGGTTTTGCTATAGCATGCTTCTTGTTCCTTTCTACGTTTGTACGGCTGTATTGCCATCCCCAGTTCCCGGTTTATTGTAGCTATGTTGATGTTGATGTTGATGTTGATGTTGATGTTGCCTACATATATGCATTTTCCCTAACGCTGCCTACACATTTGTCCCTGTTCCCTTCCTTCTGTGTGTGTTGGCTGCATCCTCTCCCCTCTCCCTTGTCTGCAGACCCAATGCTTGTTCCAGCAGCCAATGACGTGTCGGCAGCAAGGCACCAGAGCGCAACCGCCAAGGCAGAAGGTGGAAGATACGAGGAGAAAGTTCGCGAGGGGGGTAGTACGGGTGAGGGTGGAGGAATTGGCACAAGCGGCAGGAGGGGCGACGTGGGGGCAACTGATAGGAAGCAGGCAGGTGGAACGGAGGAGGCAGTGGAGGGGAATGCAGGGAAGGTGCGTGCCTCTAGTGAGCGCATGTGGGTGTGTTGGCACAGGTGGGTGTGTTCGCACAGGTGGGTGTGTTCGCACAGGTGGGTGTGTTCGCACAGGCGGGTGTGTTCGCACAGGTGGGTGTGTTCGCACAGGTGGGTGTGTTCGCACAGGTGGGTGTGTTCGCACAGGCGGGTGTGTTCGCACAGGTGGGTGTGTTCCTCCATCTGCACTCTGTCCTATCCTCAACCATCCACCACCCCATCCTCTCTCACTGCTTGCTGCTGCTCATAACCACACCACCAACCTCTTTTCCCCCCCTCTATTCCTCTTCGCGTACTCCCCTCTCTCACTCCCTTGCAGAACTCCCGGGTGCCTACTTTCTTCTCCCCAAGCACACTACGGCAAACTCCCACCTCAGCCTCCTCACTGCTCGCTGCTGCTCGTGGCCACACCACCAACCAATGTAGCCCAATCGCCCAGCAGAAAGCAACTTCCCAGCACCAGTCAACAACCCAACGGCACTCAACCGCCCAGCAAAACCCAACCAGAGTCCACACCTCACCTGCTTCTCTCGTTGTCGACTTGACTCAAGACTGCACAGCAACTGATCCCCTATCCCCGACTACTGTTCCTCCCTGCTGCACCCCCCCTGTGCCCTCTGCTTCCCCTGCCTCGCTCCCTCCTGAAGGTGATGAAGGGAGCAGAGAAACGGCGCTGGGAGGCGGGAAGCGGAGACGGGATGAGTCAGCAGAGCTGGATGGATGCACGGAGGGCAAAGGCGGAGTGAGAAGGAGAGGAGCAGGGGAGGTGAAGGTTGAAGATGCAGGGAGGATGGTGGGCAGGAAGGGAGCAGAGGGCAGAGAGCAGCAGGGTGAAGCAGGCAGAGCAATAGCAGGGAGAGGAGGAGCAGAGAGAGGGGCGGAGAGAGGGGCGGGGAGAGGGGCAGAGGGAGGAGGAGCAGTAGTGGCAAGAGAAGAACGGTGGAGGAATTGCAGCAGCGGTGCAGCTTGTGCTGGGGCTGAAGCCGCACCGCTGCGGTGTGCCAGCGGCAGCACACACTCACGAGGATGTAGAACTCCAGAGGGGAATTTTGAGCCGACTCAAAAATCACCTGGACCCATGCAGTGTGCCAGAACACGCATTGGGGGATGTACAACACCGGAGGGGTTCTTGGGACGCAGAAGAAAAAGAGGATGTGAAGGAAATGAGGGCGTTGAAGGGCAATCGAGCGAGTCTGTTGAGATTAGCGATCCCATTAGCAATCGCGGAAAGGTTGGGGACATGATGAGGCAACATGGAGCGGCGACAGGTACTGAAGAGAGTAAGGAGTTAAATAAGGAAATGCGCAATGTGGAGAGAAGCAGGGTAAGTAAGGAAACGGGCAAACAGGCAGGGGGGGGCACAGCAACACGGGAGGAGAAGGACAGACGAGCGCGGGAGTACCTGAATGTGGTGCAGACGACTCTGGCCCCTCCAGACTACCAAGCCTTCCTCCGCCTCCTCCGGGAGTTCCGGGCCAACCGAGGGCAGAATCAGCAACCTTCAGGGCAGCAGCAGCAGCAGCCCGTGTTTTCTTCCGCGTCTCAACCACCAGCAGCAGCAGCAACAGTGATGCTGGGTAGTAGAACAACAGCAACAACACGAAGGGATCTTCTGCACTCGCTTGCGTTGCTCTTCGGGGCTTCCAACCAGCTCCCACTGTTGGCAGGGTATGTCGTGCTGCGGCTGCACTCGTTTTCCAAAGTTCTCCTTTTTCCTTTTTGTCTCTGTTGGATTTCTCTCTTTATTCTCAGTTTGGCCCCCTCCGCTCCTGCCTTTTCCCCTCTGTTGATGATAGTGACCTTGTTGACCCCCGTTCCCTCCACCCTCTTATCGTACGGGCCTTGTTGTTCTGCCTCACATCTCTTTCTCAGCTTTGACGCGTTTCTTTGCAAGCAAGAGGACAAAGCTATGCTGAAGCAATTGTTAGGAAACACTGCTGGATAAATCTCAGCGACTAGATTTTCCACACGTACAAAATTGCCTTAGTAAGCCGCCAAATATTGATTTCTACCATCGGTTGATAGGCTATGAGCTAAAGGCAAAGTCGGATTTACCTAGTCCATGTTAGGCTCATGGACAAGTGAATTGAACTGAATTGAACTGGTGTAAGGAAATGGTATTTCCTTCTCACGGGTACTGTAATCTCCCAGCATGAATACCCCTCCGAAAAAGGGACCATGGGGCTTCATTCCGGACACAGGGTCTTTTTATCGCGAATACCTCGTGAGGACCCGTTTTTTAGGCTAAATCATTTGAAGACCCCTCTTTTTGTTGTTGTGGCATTTTTTTCACTATTATGTTGGAAATGAATCTGTGTGTAAACGTGTATGTTCCATACGAATTTGTTGGAAATATCTCAAAGGACTTAAGCGTTTCTGAAGTGTAACACTACACTCGAGGAAGATCACAACGGGTACGCGAGTCAACGGAGGTTACACGAGGGGGTGGACAAAGAACGCGAAGGGACTTGAAGGGTCGCAACTGGAGGTTGCGACTGACCGTTACAACAGCGCGGATGGTAACCGAAGCGACAATCGAGTCGCTGTGCGACTCGATAACCGCTCCTGCAACTGTATTCTACAACTGCTTTACTTTCCTATTTTCCTATATATTGCTGTATGCTTGTCTCTTTAATCAATCACTTGTTCTCATATACTAGTACAAGGGTTCAACTACTCAAACTTCCGCTGCACTACTCAAGTCTTTTACAACTGGGACTTAGTCTCTGAAAAGATCCCAAGGGCTTTTCTCAGCCCAACAGAATTGTCGGTAGATTCAACCCTCGAACATACCCCAAGCGGTCAAGATGACATGCCAGCGCAGCGACGAAGTTGGCATTGGCAGCCAGCGACTACAAAATCTGACGCGTGACCAGGGTCTCAGTATCAGACGAAATCGGTCTGATGGTCTGAAAATCAGACCTGCTTTTTCTCATTCATTTGATTTTTTTACGGGCTACATTAATTCGTCTGATCGTCCAGATAAGCCATAAGATTTCGTCTGAAAGTACAGAATAGGTGTAGACTTTCGTCTGAGAATTAAGATAGCGCGGATTTTTTCGTCTGATACATTCCTCGTCTCCCCAACGGCCCTCCCCCACCCCCCCCCCCCCCCCCGTCCCCCACAACCAAGAGTTTTTCCGGCCAAGTCCTCCAGTGCCAGATACATTCCTCCCACACCCCTACACAACCTCCAGTTTTGTTTCTTTGCTAGTTTTTCCGGCATAGTCCTCCATATCAGAATTAGAATTGTTGAATTAGAGAGGGAGAGTACACAAACATATACCTAACTATTGTACTCTCTAGAAGGTGACCCTATACAGTCTATACAAACATGATAACTACACATGTTTGACACACCCCCTGGACTGCATAGGGGAATGTTCTAGACAAGCAGCTCAGGGTGGCACTACTAGTCCAGCCTCTGAGACAAGGGTCTAAAAGACCAGTCAGAAGGAGTACAGACAAGGCAAGAACTAGTACAGGGCGGCACTACTAGTCCAACCACTGTGAGAGGACACAAGTCCAGTCTGAGTGTATACATATATATATACGACAGTACAAAGTCAAGGCCCGAGGAAGTGAGAGACTACAGGAACCAGACCAAGCTGTACACAGTGCCGCTGATGATCTTTAGGCGCAAGCGCCTTCGTAAAGATATCAGCTGTGTTGGCACCGGAGGCCAAGTGTACTACACGAGCCTGGCGACGCTGCTGTAGCTCGCGCAGGAGGAAGTACCGCAGCTGGATGTGCTTCGCTCTGCCCTCGAGTCGAGGCTCCTGACACAGGAGAATCATGGCCCTGTTGTCAGCGTACAGGACCGGGGCAGAGCTAGGCCGCTCACCTAAGTCAGTGAGCAAGAAGGTCAGCCAGCGGAGCTCCTGTGCCGCCATGGCACCGGCGTAGATCTCAGCCTCACAGCTGGACTGGGCAACAGACGAGGAGCGGGTAGCTCTCCACGAGACAGCACCTGAGCCAAGGCTAAAGCAGTAGCCCTGGGAAGACCTGAGCGTCTCGGCGTCGTCTGCCCAAGAAGCGTCTGTGTGTCCAGTAAGGACCACTGGCCTGCGTCCGCCTAGCACTAACCCCATGCCCGATGTACTTGCAAGATAACGCAAAACCCTCTTAGCGGCAGACCAGTGCTGAGGTCGGTGTCTGTCTGTGGCCACAAAACGAGCCAGGATGCTGAGAGGGTATGCGAGATCTGGGCGAGTGCAAGTCATCAGGTACATGAGGCAACCCACTAGCTCAGCGTAAGGACCACTGGGATCTACCGACTCCTCAGGAACTGGAGCGGAGAGTCTGTGGTCCAGAGGAAGAGGGGTGGGCTGTGCGGAGGAGAACTGAAGGCCGAACCTCTGAAGGACCTGGCGCACCAAGTGTGACTGAGTCAGGGTGATGGTGCGCGCGGCTCTGTCCCTGGAGATCTGCAAGCCAAGGTAACGGCGCAGCTCTCCAAGGTCAGTGCAGGTGTGTCTCTTCAGCAGCTCTGCCTTCACGGAGGCCAGTGCGTCCCTGTCAGCTGTGGCAAAGACCAGGTCGTCTACGTAGACGAGGATGTAGAACGGAGTCGAGCCAGCACGAACGAAGAGCGAGGGGTCTGCAGAGGGCGGAAAGAACTGCAGGTCAGCAAGGGTAGCACGCAGCGTGTCGTGCCACTCACGAGGCGCCTGGCGCAGGCCGTAGACTGGGCGCCGCAGAAGCCACTGGGTCCCAGGGGGGAAGGTGCCAGTAAAGCCCTGAGGACGACGCAGGTAGACCTGCTCGTGAAGGCTGCCCTGAAGAAAGGCAGTGGAGAAGTTGAGGGAGTGAAGCTCGTAGTCACGCTGAGCAGCTAGGTGTAACAGAACCCGAAGAGTAGTCATCTTCGGGGTCGGAGCGAAAGTCTGGAAGAAGTCCACCCCCTCGCGCTGACTGAAGCCTCTAGCCACATAGCGCTCCTTGAAGACAGGCGGCTCTCCAGGAGGGCGCTTCACCTTGAAGAGCCAGCGGCCATCGACTACGTTCACCCCAGGTGGGGGAACTGCGTCGACGAAGGTGCCGGTGGATCTCCAAGATGCCATCTCCTGCTCCATGGCAGCTATCCACTGAGAGGCCCAGGGTCCCGAAACCGCCTCAGCGTAAGTACGAGGGGTCGGGATGTCAAAAGCGTCTGGGTCACCCTCAGGGACTAGCAGCATGGAACAGAGATGGGGAGCAGCCTCGGACAGGAAAGCAAGCTCAAACTGGCGGTCCTCCAGGACGTCACTGCCGAGGGCAGGAGCACCCCCGACGGACGGAGGACAGGCAGGGTCAGAGACCAGAGCGGAAGCGTAGTCAAGGCGGCGGGTAGAGGCGAAGTCAGCAACCGCAGCGACGAGGGCGTCAAGACTCGACACTGGAACAGACGGGTCGGTAACGAGAGAGGCAAGGACCCGAGGAACAAGAGGACGAGCGGCACGAAAGTAGTCAGACAGAGGAGGAGACGCAACGATAAGAGAAGACGGAGGAGGAGACGGGAGGAGGGGAGGACGAGACGCGTGGGAGCGGAGCAACATAGGGTGAGTGCGCGGGGCGGGGGAGACAGGACGAGCACGGGAGGGGCGGCGAGACCAGACGTGAGAGGGCGGCGTCGGGTCAGGAGACAGAGGAGGGGACACGGGTGGGGAACGAGGGGGAAAACGAGCCGGGGACGAGTCCGGCGGAGAGAACACGGGGCCGTAGACGGGAAGAGGGGGAGACGGCCGGAGAGGAACAGGCGCAGGGTCAGGGGACGGAAGGCCGAGCAGACGGAGGGCGGACACCGGCGGGGACTGCTGCTGCGGCGACACAACACCAACACCAGAGCCACAAGCTGCGCGACGGCTACCTCCCGAACCCTCCACACCTGCACCCCCAGAAGGGACACCCCCAGAGCCCGAAACCCCACCAGCACCGGTACCACCCCCAGGCCCGCCGGGACAAGCCACGACTGGAGCCCCGGGACTAGTACCCACCTCAACGCCAGCACCCCCAGAGTCCACAAACGGCGGCAGCGACGACAGCGGCGGCGGCGGCGGCGGCTGCAGCGACGGCTGCGACGGCGGCGGCGGCGGAGACGACGGCAGCAGCAGCCGCGGCGACGGCGGCTGCGGAGGCGGTGAAGGAGGAGACACCGGGGGAGGGACAGACGGCGAGGACTGCGCCAAAGGACTACCAGAGTCAGAAGACTCGTCGGCCGGAACGACCGACGGGAGGGGGGTGACGTGAGACACACCAGAGGGGGCCGGACGGGGGGGCGGGGGGGGGGGAGGGGCAGGGGCCACCAGGGAGGGAGGAACCAGGAACAGGGGGGGAGTAACCGGGGGACCACGGTGGGGAAAGCGGCGGTAGAAGGAGACGGACTCGTCAAAGGTGACGTCGCGAGAGTGAAAGAAACGGTGAGACGGCGGGTGATAGAAGTGCCAGTCGGACGCGTCAAGGGGGAAACCGAGGAAGACGCAGGGGAGGGTGCGGGCAGTGAGCTTGTCCGTGCCAGAGGCACGAACGTGAGCAAGGCAGCCCCAGACGTGGAACGCAGACGCGTCACCAGGGGACCCGGTCCACAGAAGGGTCGGCGAAACCTGCGGCCGCTGGGGGTGCGGCCACAGGTTAAGCTGGTGAGCGGCGTAGCGCACGGCGAACGGCCACAGAAAATGGGGTGCACCGGCGTGGATCATGGAGGTGCGAGCCACCTCCATGACCAAACCGATGCGTCGCTCAGCGACCCCATTCTGCTGCGGGGAGTCCGGCAGGGTAAACGTCTGGGTGATGCCCTCCGCACGACAGAAGCGACCAAGGACACCTGAGGCGAACTCGCCACCCCGGTCGGAGTGGAGGCGCAAGGCAGGGAGACCGCGGTGGAGACGAGCAGAGACAAGCCAGGGGATGAGAACGTCAGGCACGTCGGCCTTCCGCTCCAGGGGAAAGACGGTGGTGTAACGTGTGAAGTCGTCGACAAGCACTAGGAAGAAGCGCTCGCGACGCGGCCCATGGACCGGGGCTGGGCCCCAGACGTCCATGTGCAGAGTCTGCAGGGGTGCGGTGGTAGGGGGAAAAGAGGAGGAGTGAGGGGCACGGCGGAGCCGGCCCTCGACACAAGGCGTGCACGGTGGGGCGGGGGATGAGGGAAACTCAGGGAACGAACCGGGGAGACCAAGGACGAGACCGTGCTGGGACATGTGACGCAGACGCGGGAGTGCAGGGTGACCAAGGCGGTGGTGCCAAAGGAGAGTCGGATGAGTGAG